CCCACTGCGAGGGTGGGGAACAACAAAGCGGCCTATAGGTTGGAAGCAAGCCCCATTACCAGGATGCCACGCAAGTCTTTTCCACAAATCTGCATCCCTACTTGAAGGCTCAGGGGGCTGAGCACAGGGGGCACTGATAGACCAACCCCAAGCAGGTCACTTGCAACGCCATTTTAATCTGCTTACTAAAGTCCCCTGGGCCTCTAAACCCTAAACCCTTTTCAATATGCATTAGCTTCCACTTGCTCTTCCATTCCTTACGAACACCAAAATGACCCGTAAATAATCCCTCACGAATATCTAGGCCAGCTAAAGCCCCAATGGATCCCTACATATTTTTTGCTGCGCCATCCTAAGGTGGCTTTGAAGCTCCTGAAGGAGGGTAACGGCCGCTTCGTTGGGGGCACCGCCGTAGCAAACAGGATCAGCCCAGAAGTCCGGAAGAGCATGGACTCCAGTCGCTCTTCTGTTTAGGGTTGAGGTTTTAGGGTTGAGGGTTTTCAATAATTCTAATTTAAATTCATTACCGTATGTGACCTTTTATAGTCCATAAAAACCCTATACGGCCAGGTAGTCTCCCTGTTGCCCCCCATAGCTTACAGGGGTCTCGATTAAAGCTCCTTCCCCAAGCCGTCAGCTCTTCTGGTTTAAATGTTCGCTGCTCCAGACCCAGACTCCAAAGAATTGAGGCACTGCGGTTTGAGTACTGGCCGTGTGTGAATGGCAGGGGAAGAGGCGTCAACAACACATGAGGCGTTGTCAAGATTATTGCCTTTTTGCTGGGCACCACCCTAGATGTTCGGGGCGTTATTGTATTAGGGACCCGAAAAGGGACAACTATTTTGACAAGCACATGAGAATTACTGCAGCCCCCGACCCAAGCTGCGTTCTTAAACTCGCGCTAGCCCCTAAACCCTCGAACCCTCAGACCTAAATCCTAAGCCCTAAACCCTAAACCCCAAACGCTAAACGCAAAGCCCTAAACCCTAAACCCTCAAGAAGGTCAGCCGCCCCACACCGCCATTATCGGCTGTGCCGACTCGAAAGTTCCTTTGGCGACTTGGGTGACATGGGGACCTGTCTTAAGGCGTATACAGGGAGGAACAGGGTTACAATGGTATGTAGGGACATATGAGGTTACATACGGTTAGGATCCAGGGACTTAGCTAGCAGGTTTTACATGGGGTCATAAACAGGCCAATCCCAATTGGGGTACTTCCAGCCCCATAAGCCCCCCTGTGCCTCTAAGTAGCAAGCTTACGAGGTGCTCTTGTTATCGTTGGATCGTCGCCGCAGGAGCTAAAACCGCTAAGTAATCAAACTTGAAAGCGCAATCCTTGCAGTGGCCTCATCTGAGGAGACCATCTTCGACGCTTTGCCAGGGGACCTCTTTGTGCTCCGCAACTCAGGGACTCTTGGCCCGCTTGCGATCTTGTTTACGTGCCATGGAGACTGCACGTAGTGGACTGGTGCGCATTGCATGTGCCATTTGTTGCACCCCAAATCCTCGGAAAGCTGAGGAACACCTGCACCCATGCTCAGGGGAGTGTGGTCTCCGGGCTGCCAAAGTGGTACCATTTTCTACTTGTGAGTTGTGTGGGGCCCTCCTGCTGTCCACCACCTGGATCCCATGTCCGAAAAGTCTGCTGAGAACTTGCACCCCTATTGTTGTTACGGCAATTGTTCTTCTTGTTATTATTGTTGTTACTTGTGCCATCTTTGTCATTATTGTTATTCTGGCATTTGTTCCCATAATCATTACTATTACGGTTGTTATTGTTACTACTCCTGTTCTTCTTGTTATCATTGTTAGTTCTGGTGCAGGGATTCCGTTGCAAGACAGCCAGCCTCGGCAACCCAGGTCAGCAGCTTGGAATTTTGTATCGACAAGCTGCAGACCCGCTTGATCCTGGTGCTGGGCGGCTTTCCAGAGAATTATGCATCTTTTCGTCAGAAGTCTTCAGCTAGGTCCACAAGTCGTACATGTCATGTCAATACTCCAAACAGGTGCTCCCATTGTATATAGAGATCTGCTAATCTACCCTGACCCCAAGCCCAACACTTCAAACAGCGAATTCTCTCTGATCCTCGCAGTGATGAGGCAATGGACTTGCAAAGTTCCTTTTTCAATTTCCAGAGATGCTAGACGCTTGTTTGATTCTTGCATCACCGAACATGTTTGCTCATGCGTGGTTTGCTGTGCAGGTCACACGCAGTGCGACGCCATCGCCCGGGCCGCCGAGGCCCACCGAAGCCCTGGCAGCGCCCCAGCAGGGAAGTCCGAGCGCGGCAAGGCGGATCTTAGCGTTTGCTTGAAAGCCAGCATTCGAGCTCGTTTGAGTAGGCTCCTATACTCTCGGGGGACACAGACCCAGGATGGACCATTTTCTTTTGAGCTTTTCCAACTGCGCAGGCCTCGGAGGCTTTGGTAGAAGGGATTGCGACCAGCGTATCAGCTGCAATCTCAGAGCTTGGGCCGACCGCCTCCACTGCCCTTCGCCTGCACAGAGCAAATATCAGAGGTCACGCTGTGGGGCTGCAAGCTTTGATGAGGGATACAGGTTCTTTGGGCCGCAGTTTGGTTTAAACATAAGTCAAGTTCAACGTTGGAGTTGTCCAAGCAAAGCTTGGCAGTTTGAACTTTGTGGGTGCAGTTTACATGATGTGGGTTGGGAGTGAGATGATGAGAAGATGGATGGCGGGACTGTTGCAGAAGGCTTTTTGACATCTGGACTTGAGGTTAGAAACTTGTTTCAACATGTGGGCGTAGGTTTCCTGCCAAGCGACTGGGGGCTGCCACGCCGCCTCTGGGTTCAGAGCTGGATGAAGCGCAGGACGCTTCTTTTAGAGTAATCAGCCAGCCGCTACACGAGCAAAGCAGCATATTCCCGTACTCCCGCCCAAACTTCCACCATTTATCACCATCACCGTGGTGTTTCACCAAGCCGTGTCCTTAGGAAGACATAGTTGGCCGTGCTACAACGTGGAATGTGTTCCACACGATTCAGTGCCTGCTCCAGTACAGCGCGCCAGTTCGCGAGAAGGCTCGGGTCTGCTCAATGGTAGATTATTCTTGTTATTGTTGTCACGGTACTAGTGCTAATTTTATTCATAGTATTATCGTTAATGAAATTCTGGGATTGATGAATGTGTTAATGTAAATGTAAATAGTACGCGTCGCAATGCTGCAGACTTCAACGGAGTCAGGTCGGGACGGTTGTCAGGGATTCATCTCACTGGCACGGCAGCCTGTGTAATCAGCATGATGCTGTATACTGTATATCAACATAGACACAGCTCAGCCTGATCTCGCTCTTTCAACAACGCTGAGAAGAATACTGCGTCGAAGAGCTGAGAACTTAGGCCGGGGTTTCTACTCCTGCCTGCCAGCTGGTCCAGTATGCTGCATTCCTGCCGTAGGAAGTTCAGTAGCTGTGAGACTGACATCTTTTCAAGCACTATTTTATGTGTGGGCAGGGAGAAGATTTGAGCCAGGTGCAGAAGGGCGATATTGCCATCCAGGGCGCGATCTACAACAGTCAGACGCAACAAGTGCAGTTCTTGGGATGCCCGGAATCTGTGCTGAAAGGTTGCTCTGAACTGCAGGCAGTTTCAGGGACGCTTAGGGTTCAGGTCAAGTCTCTAGGCCGCGAGAAGAGTTCGGAATCAAAATTCTTAGCGCGCCTCATTTGTCTTTGCATATTGTTGTGGGCGACCTCCAGCAGCTCTGCCACCAACGTCTCAACCTTGCCCCTGAGAAAGATGTCAACTCGAGGACCGAGGGATAAAGACCGCGGCCAGTTTGCTAAACAGCCGCATAAGGTTTCTTGCAAAGGTGTTTCTGGGCGTTGCAAGGTGCTTCAAGTAACCTACTGATAGAGTCTCACCAGCCTGCCGGCAGATGTTGGGGTGATGAATTCAACAATGGTAAAGTGTAAGCCTACATAATTGCCAGTATTATGGTCACAGATTCTGAGTATAAGCATGGTGGTGTCACGTGTGTGCGGGCGTGACGACATGTTGGGGTTCGTTGACACCATCTCTGCCTGTCTTTCGAAGATGCCCGGACCCAAACAGCTTCAGATGACCATGAGGTTGCTCCGCGTGGGAATCACCGCCTCAGTGGGCTGGAGCGTGAGGGCCACGAGTGGCGGCTCGCTCCCATGCCTTTCAACTCCCCAGCCATGAGCCCCCCTATCCACGGATTCCATGAAGTTTTGCAGATTCGTGTTGCATGTTTTCACTAAAGCTTGCCCTGGCAGGCTGAGAGCGAGCTAGCGAGACTTCGGCTAACGGCTAGCTTTCTTGAGTTTCTGTCGACGCCTCAATGCCCGTAAACCCTAGAGCCTAAAACCCCAAACAGCTTCAAGTCCCTTTTCCACAGCAGATGGAGGGGGGCTCCAAGGCTTCCGATTAGGATGCCGACCAGGGCTCTGCTCAAGGCAGTGCTCTGTGCAGGGCAAAGAGCTCAGGCTGACATAAAACGCTTTCTACCCCCTATAAGTGGAGAATCAAATGGAAAAGAAAATGGAAAATGAAATGGAAACCCTAGGTCCCTTTAAAGGGGTTATATAGGGACATTTTACCCCAATAATGGAGAATCAAATGGAAAAGAAAATGGAAAATGAAATGGAAACTGGGGTTACATAGGGGTTTTTACCCCTATAATGTAGAATGGAAGAGAACATGGAACATGAAATGGGAACTGTTATCATATTGGGGTTTATAGGGTTTAGGGTTTCCCATAATTAGGGGTGCAATTTTCGGGGTCCCCCTCAAAAGGATGATAGCTTATTAGGGTCTATATTGGGGCCCCTTCTTCTGGTCGCAGGTACAAATAAAGCATAACGGACAAGGAAATGGAAATTATTAGGGTGTAACACGAAATTATCATGGAGAACCAACTTGAAAGTGAATGGAAAATTGGGTTCATATAGAAGGTTGCAGAGATTCCAGTTCCAGGCTGAGATGTCTTCTAAAAGCAGATGCTATGAGGGCCTCAATAGGGTTATCTTGGGATATACGCTGATATTGGCAAAGAGCATGGAAACAATGCAGGGGCATACTTACCCTAATGAGGGAGAGCAGCATGGACAAGAAAATGAAGATGAAAAGCAAACTGGGCTGACACAGGCTTGTAGGGATTTTGTAAAATAATTTGTAATATAATATGACCTCCGCGTCACGCGGCTGTTAGCTGGGTGTGGCTATCTCCAGGTGCAGGGACCCCGGAGGCGGCACTAACAGGGCTCAGCCCTGGATGAGCACGCTGCACCCGCCCTCCCATCGCGCCGCGTGA